ACACACACACACACACACACACACACACACACACACACACACACACACACACACACACATACGCGCGAGAACAACCTCGTACAATAAATAAACCGTAATTGATCGGGCGAGTAAGCCGAGAGTTATGCTCAGATAGGTAGACCGACCTGCGTCATCGGATCCTTCATGATGAGGACATCGGTAACAGTGCCGAACATGTTAAAATATTCCCGCAGCTTTTCGCTGCTCGTCTGCCAGGAAAGGCCGCCCACGAAAAGCTTGCCCGGCGCCGGGTCGCCGCCGTTCGGCGTACTCCTGCCGGAGCTGCCTGAATGGCTACCGTTTATCGGCACCAACGTGTTGTGGAAGTCGTGCTCGATCGCGCCGTTTGTTGCCTCCATGCCGGCGCTGCGAACAAAAATAAATCGATCGTAAGTCCATTTGCGGTCAAGCAAAAATCCACGTGGCGTTCCGGCTCGTGTTAGTCTTTGTACTAAAAGTTAGCTACTGAACGTTATGATTTTATACAAATTTTTTTTAAAACACACAGTATCGATTCCTTATTTCTTGCAATAAGGCAAAAATTATATATTATACGTATTACACACACATACACACTTATATATATTATTTATGTACAAATTATACATATATATTAAACATGAAAAGGGAAATAATGTTATATTAACACAGCATTAGCCAACAGCAATTTAACTGAAAATAATATTGTTTATTCAATAACAATATTAATGAAACAAATAACATTTTATTAAAAAAACAAGAACATGACAAGAATATATATATAACTTATTTTATTATTAATAGATACTATTAAAGAATTAACACGATTATTTTTAGTTAAACTACTGTTGACTTATATAACATTGTTAATATATCATTTTTTCTATATATATGATATTTTTCCTACATACATTTTTTTCTTGTGATATATAAAGATGAACATTTTTAATTGCAAAGCGTTTGTGTTAAAGTAATTTAATGCTAATATATTCGTGAGCAAATTAAATTATACATCGTGTTAAATGCAGACGGATTTCTATTTATTATATTCTGTAGCCCTTCCTTGGGAAAAGCGTTCGTGCAGATGGCGATAAACATCTTACAAATATCGGCAGTTTTATTAAGAGCTCGTGCTCGTATATTTTTCTTGTTTCAGTTGATACCGCTCGTCTTGCTCAACGTTTGCATGATGGTCGTCATACCCTCCATGGTCTACCATAGATTCTTCGTTAGTACGATTGACATTCAGTAAGTAGTGGATTCTATGGTTCTTCCGGACCGACGTTAAAGTGAAACAAGTCGCTCTGTCTCGCGCGACAAGTGTAAAAATAATATATCATTTCGCAAAACGATCGCGTCAGCAAACCCTGGAACTTGGACGGAAAATATAGCGCGGTCCGTCTATTCCTGTAAGCAATCTACATTCTATGTATAGCGCCGATGTGTTAAGGTCACTGTGTCTACCGAGAGCTAACGACCTTGGCACTGCCATGTTTTATGTCTACTTACGAGGAACTTTTACTTATGCCGTGTAATATGTCAAGCGGTCCGTAATAAAAAAAATATATATATATAAATATTTTTATCACAGGATTTAAGTAAAAACGGGAAATAACGTTCCTCGTTCTATTGCTCTTTCGCATTTGCAATTTTTACGCATTCGTCAGGATTTATGTAAATCACAAAAACTGCACGCGAGAATAAATACCTATGTATCTTTCCAAGTATAAGCGGATATTATCGTCTTTTAGGCCGACCGCTTATCAAAGATTCGAAATTCCGTCGGTACCGAGATTTTACGACCTGCGGAATCCTCGTAGTTTGAAGGTAAGTTCACAAAATAAATGCGTTTTTATTCCTGACATTTACAATATAAAAACCATTTTGCAATAGTTACTTTCGATATTTTCATAAAATTTTATTTCTCATGAAATCAGTTTTTAGATAGTATTCTCGTTTCGTCCAAGCTGCGTGTGAGAATAATCGATAATCTCATGAGAAAGGAAAAACAATGTATCCGTCCATACCCTGTCTCTCGCAATATCCATAAATCTCCGACCGTTCGCTGTTGCCGCCGAACGCGCTTACATTTAATATCTAGAGACACGGATGAGCGCCAATATTTAATCAATTATTACGCCTGATGTAAAACATTCAGTTAAAGTAATTAATTAAAAGCAACGTGCACGTAATCTGTAGAATTACGTGTCACTTGTGATGTTTGTTATTATAAAACGAGATTAATTCTGACAACGATGTCATATTGCTATCCTTAACCTTGATTAATTATTTTTACAATTATATCGATTAATTGCGTATCGCGTTATAGCTGTCTTGTCTATATTCGCTTATATTCGGCGTCGTTAAATAATTCGTGTTATGGCCGTGTCACAAATATACTATGTTTATCGCGTTTCAAAATCTGTTACATTGTTTTACTCCGAAGAATCTCCGTCTCCTTAATTAATACATTACGAAATCGTTTCGCGTAACATAATTTAATTCTTGATCAAATGCAAAATAAAAGTGCAACGCTATACTGCGGTATCTTTCATAGAATTATTTTGTCTTTTGCTTATGCTGTATCCAAATAATAATGACAATTGTCGTATCACGAATATTGCCGTAGCAAAGATAATTGAGACTGTACAGTTTTAAGGAATTTAAAAATGTAAGCTAAATACAAATCTGAAAATAATTTTGTTCAACTATCAAAAATATTGTTATAGCCCAAATTGATAAAATGTCAAAACACTTTATGTAGCATTTTGTAGCTCCTCATGCTTGAGCTCCTGTGCAATTATTTATTTTGACGCGGTGCGATAAAATTATTTTCATTTTTACATCCGACCAAATTTTAAAAGACGGGCGCAAAATTTTATCCTTTCCACGTAGCCGCAGACGTTCAGCGCGCGCTTTACGCACGTCCGATACATCCCTTCTTTTCTTTCAGTTAGAAAGATATCTCGTATATATCGTGAGTAACAAACCAATATCCCATATCACGAGCAGTACTAGCGTGGACTCGCCCATCCTGCGTCTCGCATGTGACTCGAGAGATACGTACGAAACTAAGAGAAACTATGGTCGTTCCGTCGTGTATATCTAACCGGAGATATACCGTGCCGTCGCGATGCCTTTTCCCTCAGGATTCCAGCGTCGTAACGCGTCGTACATTCACCGCCAGCACCGACGGCGTTGCGGCCGTACAAGCGAGGGTGCGCGCGAGGGGAAGAGAGAGAGAGGACGGCGAGTGGACGGGACAGCGGGGTGCGCCGTGTAGCAGCGGGGGGTGGACGGTCGGAGGAGAGCCACGGCGGGGAGGGGG